TTCAGTGGGTAAAAGCGTATCGGGACTAGGCAGTGGAACTCTTTTTCCGCTCTTCTGCGCCCATATTTCTCCCTTGGCTTCGGTGGTGCAAACTTTTGACTTACCAACTGATTGCTACTCTATGATTTTGGCTTTGCAGTTCTTTATAATAAATTATCAATGATTTGATCTGTCAAAAAGAATTGCTCGATATTTTAAGTGATATGCGCAAATAATTCTTAGTGGTTTATATCCATTAACAAAGTATGCAGCTTTTACCGAACTGTTTTTTTTTTCTGGAACAGAGTAAGAGAAATAAATGCGGGTTGGACCAGTTGGGGTGCCTAGGAAATGCAGGTTCTGCTTGTTGTCCCACATTTTGTTTCTCATTTTTGAATTCTTATGTCAGCCATGCGTACGAACTCACTAGAAGTCGATGCAAGAACTAGGAAAATGCAAGCAGATGGTGATTAGTGTTGTGGAGTCAGTTTCAGGTGTCCAAGTGGCAGTAGATTCTTCTTCCACTTCCGTTAAGAAAGGCCGCCTTTTGTCAATTTAATAAGGACGATTAATAAAGAATGCCGTGCTAACTTTTTGTGGTGGGATAGAAGGCGTCATATTCCAAGGTGACTCCAAATTAAGGTTCTCCATTGCAGATGGTTAAATAGCTTTCCAAATCATGAGTAGTAATTGCCAGCCACTTTTGAAGAAAGCGGTAAGGCCTCAATTAGGTACTCACTGCTCATATAGAAGAATTCAAAGTTCACCGAGGTTTACAGAAATGAGTGGCCTCGGTTCTGTTTAGGGAGGAAGCTTATTTGTCAACGCCCATCAACGACTCACAGCGGGTACAGAGGCCTTTTGGATTAAGATTGCCGTTCTCACGGCTACCGTTCTAGGAGTAAGTGGTTCCGAGTCAACTTTCTGGAGGGCAGAGAGGCATGCACAACACAGAATGAATACATCTGGCTAGATTGTTAGGAGAGTCACAATGCTTTATTCATCCTCTTCCCCATGGCGACGATAAATGAGGTGAGAGAGAAATGGAAAAATATTTAGTGCATAAAGTAGGAAAAGAAAGCTTAATCAATCGAATGCCAGTCTTTTGTAAAAGCCGAGCATAAGAAATGTTTCCATTCCGTGGAGTTGGTAATTTCCCTTTTTAAGTGTACCTGACCGATTTGCCTCGTCGAAACTCCAAAATCGCGGATTTTTCCTACGACGCCATGGAACGGTGGGGAAAATGCCTCCAATTCCTACCGTCAGGCATCCCTTAGGGTACTCTCAACTTGCGGTGTTAATGGCAACTTAAGTTCTTTGCTAAGAGGTGTGGAGAATTCTTTCCGACCTAATTAAACAACTATTCGGCTGCACGTCGAACTGCCAAAACAAACAAAAACAAAACAAAGTTAAAAAATGAAGTTCATATGAAGTTCACTTAATCTTTTTCAGGCGTTTCATCAAATGAAAATAAATTCTTTAAAGTCGTTTTAGTCATGCGAGGGGATAACAGAATTTAAGAAGTAGAGGGCCACGTCTTCTCTTTTGTGCAGTGGTCGTTAAAAGGGAGCGTAATCTGTCATGACCATAGCAGATCTTCCAAATAAATTGTGAAATCACATTTCTTTTTAGCACTAAGTATGCGTACACAGTTAATTGTTTAGTGCAAATGGAGTCAGTTGGTTGCAAGTTCGCCTGTTTTCTCTCCCTCGTTTCAATCGCTAGCCCACTCATGTGCAAAACACAAGCTAAACAATAAATCCAAGCAATCATTTGTGCAAATTCCTTTGAAAGTATCAATTTTGGTAGTTGTTTCTTATCGATACAAATAACAAGGGAATATTTTTAGTAATTCTAAGACGCTTACCTACGGACAATAATTTTGGCTCTTCGTAAAAATTGCTCAGTCTATGCAAGACGACTGATGCAATGTTTTTTGGTTCGTTAAAATACTTCCAACGGCGTGGGATTTTGTTTACGTTTTACAGTGCCGAGTCTCATGTACTCTGCGTTTGTGATCGCGGACAAATTCACCGAATTGTCGTCACATTAAACTGCAGCACGTGCCTTATAAAAAGCCCAAATTAAACAATGCATTTTTGTTCTGCGTAATTCTCAGTCTGAGGCTAGGACTACTGTATTATTGGCTACCAATGGCTCTTCCGCATGCCACCAAATTATCCTTCATATTTCATGCTTTTTACGCCAATAACAGTGCTACTGAGCTTCATTAGTAGCATGTGCAGGTTCCTAATTTTGGACATTAAGGCAATCTTGAGGGCATTGAGAACACGGGTCGGCAGCCGTTGTTTTGGAAAACATCTTGACTCCCACATGATTCACGACGCTTCGGGAACAGAGGGCAAATCTAGGTTAAGGTAAACGGAGATTTAGTGCGCTTTGGGATCCCAGACGCAAGTCGTTCTCAGGAGACTTTAATCCCAGGGCGTGCCGATAGTCGCCTTCAGTCTTGCAACTCCGTTGAGCATTAATAAATAAGAGGCCTTATAGTTGTATTTGGGCTATTACTGTCTTAGTAGCCACATGTGCTAATGCAGACAGCATCAGGGATTTAGCTTAACTAAGGTGAACTGCTTTGAAAGACAGTAGGAAGGTAATCTATTGAGACTTCATCGAGGCATTGGAACAAGTAATATTTAATCCACTCGGTTACAAACAATCTGTTCGTTTACTTTTGATAAGTCAAACATCCCATTAGGGCCTGCCTGCCTGCCTGCCTGCCTGCCTGCCTACCCTCAGGCCCTTGAACCTGGGACTATAGAAGAGGATTGGTTAAGGCGACTTCATTAGGCAGCATGTACAGAAGGAAAGGAAATGAAAGGAAAGAACTGATAAGACTGAAAGCTGATGTAAACCTGATGTAAGAGCTGCCTGTCTATCCTCTGGTCCTTGAACCTCATACTTCAAGAGAGAGTTGGTTGCAGACGATCTATTAGGCTTTTGTTATAGGAAGGATGGGGAATGGGATGCAGATGAGGCTAATAGGAGAAATCAATTGAAGGGAAACTCCTCGCCGGCTTCGCGCATTAGATCCCTGCTCCCAATTGGTTCCCGGCTCTCACCTATAAAGGAACACTTAAACAAACTAGTATATATTACACCTCAGAGCATTTCTTCATGCTTCCCACGAACTGGATCCGTGTTCGAATTGCTTTCAAGCCTCTCCTTTATAAAGGCACACTTAAACACATTGGTTTACACTACAATTCCTTAACTGCAAATTATTACTCTCAGTTTTTCATCTCATAGACAATGTGATGTAGTATTTTATTTGGTAGCAATCCTTTTGAGAGTAAATTTCGATCCAAAGACTAAGGGATCAAGCGGAAAAGGCAAGTAAGAAATGGCCAGCCCAACAGTATTGTTCCTGTGAGTTGACTATGCACGCCTACAGAACAGCATTTGGATTAATTCCAAATATGCGTTATTGCAGCTGAAGGAACTGCACTCCCACCCTCGCCCCTTTAAACCACGGACTTCGAGAGGGTTAGCTGCAGTAGATTTACTAGGCAATGAATACAGAAAGAAAGGGGATAGGAGTACAGATGAGCCAAATAGCGGATATCACCAAGAGAGGGATTCTCCACAGTCCTCACGCACCAAATTCGAGTTCAAATTCGCTTCCCGCCTCTCCACTGTAAAAGGTCAACTTGAACACCAATACATATTACAGTAACGTCTTGAGACATAAGAGCTGAATACATACATTTAAAGAAGAGCAAAGGATCTCGAAGTAACCGCCAAACGTCAGACGGTAGCATCAACAAAGTACTACAACTGCTATCTTGCCTTAGGTTGTGTGGGCTGGCCTTCGGACAAAGCCTAAACCCACCCTATTACAATTCTCTCCAAATGCATGTGGTCAGCCCCCTCACTTGCCTTCCTTCGTCTGGTAGGAAGTTTCAGGATGCAACATGTAGAGAGCAACAATTACCTACTTGCGGATATCCATTTCTCTCTTGATGCGATATTTTCTGCATCAAAATCCTTATTATGTCTTTGCCTTTTAAAACATGTAATACTTCGCAGTGTATCATACATGCCTGTTCAAAAACATATGTTTTGAATACACTAACAGTAACTTTCTTTCGAATTGCGCAAAATACAAGGTGCACCTTGGACAATTTTTTCCCCAATCGGTGCGGTGCTGCGCGGTGGTGGTACATAGATCTGAATTACTTTTATTATGAACTGCACAAAATTTGCAGTGCACTTAGGTAGCTGTATTTGTATTTTATTTTCTGACATTGGATGATCTTCACATTTGGTGGGAGTTTCTAACCAGAGGTGTCTTCATTACTATTCGATCTTGCTTAATTATGATGGTTGCACACACGAACTTTATTGAATCTTATGTTAACCTTAGACTTGAGGTACTCCTTATGCGCCTCTGGTGATTATAGTATACTGGTTGCATTTCCGTGATTCGTGCCATGGATGAAGACCCAAGTGTTTTTCCCCCAGTAAGGTGGTCGTTTTACTTGGCTTATTTTCTCTAGAACCATCCACTTCGTTTATACCTCCGAAGTCTAAATTTGGATGACATCGATGATTATGTTGGAACCGACGAATATCAATCTACAATACCTGTTAAGAATGCTACGCCATCATATTTGACTAAATTAACCACTGGATATGTCTACCTCTTCAGATTGCTCTTCTATTACTACACTCTCATTGTAGTATTGGAATTTTGAGTAGACATTTTCTAGATTCAATTTCCAAAAAGGTACATTTTGCAGCATCTCCTTCAGTCGGAGCACATATTTTCCAATGACCACGCCTATCTCGAACAATGCAAGAATAACCTTGAAAGACAGCTGCCTCCTTATCCACTCCATCCCTTTCCTTTAACCCTCATTTTATGTACAACATTACCGATTTTCCTTGCTCTCTTGATTTCCGATGCTTGTGTATTGATTTATTATGCAGGCATGTTGTCTCTCCTCCTTATCTCTGCAAAACTAGCGTTCGTCTTGCTAGCTGTTGTTTTGGTTAGGCAAGCGAGTTGTTTTATGGAAGATCTTCACATTGTCTTCAGAAAATCAATTACCCTTCTTCGTGGACTCAATACCGTCGAAATAGGCTATATGTTGTGAGTGATTTGAAGTGGAAGTAACCGAGGATTAGAGTGGTTTTGTCAGGATCAACTCATTTTTTTGCTTTCAGTGCAAGTAGAGGAGGCGCGTTTCTGAATCAGTTAGATAGGATCGTACTACCGAGATACAGCTCGAAGTTGTACGATGCACTGTTCGTCTACATATCAAATGTCACTTTGCTATCCACCAACATCAACCACTTAATTCAATCTTCACCTGCCTTGGTCTCCAGCCTTGTGGGAATTGGCAGCTGTTTATCTATTTCCCAAGATAACACGGTCTTCAAGGAGGTCAATAGAAAGAGTCTGCTAAATATCAAGGTAGTGAGAATTGTCGTTCAGCAAAATTCTCTCCTATTGTCTAGACCATGTTCTGCATCGCTCTTGAATTCGATTCCGAATTGGCGCGGGTATTTGCCTGCTTTGTCGTACTTCGTCTTCATGAATCTTTCCTTATGAATTGTAAGTCTCCCACCGTTAACTCACTTAAGTTTAAGCCTTCCTGTGTTCATTTGGGATTGAGCCCTAGTAATCTTCCCATATACCTGATCTTATTGTCCTCGTATACCGTCCAGCTCATGCCTTTCGGACCTTTCTATATGCATCGTCAATATGGGTTGAAGAGAGCCTCATTTTACGAGTAATTTTACTCCCTTTTGAAACTAGTACGAGTGCTTAAGCTTCTCTGTACCTGGCTGTGGTGTCTACGACTTGCAAGAAAGGATCTGTACGAAGTAGACCAGATGCGGATAAACTTAGAGGATGGAAGTGGATTTGGGGACGAGCCACCAAACACAGAGACTAAGGCTTCAAGTCCGGCCTTAGTAGATGCACAAGTTAGGGAACACCTCTCGGCCTTGGCTAGTCTTCATTACAATGTCATCTCCATGTCTTGTCGGTGCGTTTATATTCATTTTACTTAAATTGTGCTAGTAGGTCGTCTTATACCAGTTATTGTGTCGGAATGCAATAATTCACGATCTTGTCTTCTACATACAACCCATCGATTAGGTTTCCCTTCCCTTGTCCACTCATTTTTGGCTCCAACTTTAATTCACCCCTTTTGCATGGTGAGTTTTTCGTTTTTAGACTGCTTAAGCTCGATAAATGTGTGTTACCGTAACCAAAAGAGGCTAACATGAAGGCAAATCGAATGGTTCTTGGATTGAGGGCGGGGTATATTTCTGTTATTTTTAATCTTTTGGCGTAGATTTTGATACTCATTACGAATACCCATTGAGGGTTTTAATTGCAGGATATGAAAGGCATTTAGAGTTGGAGGCTTCCTCAGTTCCACTGAACAAGCAATGGCTCATTGCATCTATCGTCTATTCTGTGCTCGTTGAAAATGGATAGCTGCATTGTACAATGTTATTTTTCAGGCTTCATAAATTGAGGGAAGAGGTCGCTGCCAAGGCATCCTCAGTTGCGCTGTTCGAAGTATCCTCTGAGGAACTTCAGTCGATGCGCATACTTTTGACTAATTGTCAGTACTGCTTGGATGAAGCTGAGAAGACTCTTCAAAATGAATCTGCCAAATTGACAGAGTCGGTTCCAGTTCCTCTGGCGTCTGAGCCGACGTCCATAGTGGAAGAGATTGGCGAGCTGATACCACTAGATTCCGAACAACCTCCGGTTGAAGACGAGGTGAGTTTCACAAGTTATTGAGCCGTCATTGATGGCATTGTGCGTCTTGGGGTCTTTACCGCCAATGTCATGGCTGCTCTTAAATACCCTTCTGACACATCCACTTTTGTTGGGTGGTATATCTCTGCTTCCCTTGATGATATTATGTCATATCAAAATAACGAAGCAGTTAATTTGACAAGTATGAAAAGGGGGATGGATTAACGACAAGACCAATTACTGTTCTTGTCTCCACAGTTCTGAACACAAATACGAAAATACTTAAGCAGACACTTGCATCACTTCTGTAGACTCGATGTCCGCGGTTATCCTACCGAAATTCGATTTTCAAATGGTAATCTCCGCTCAAGGCCTTCAGAAACGCACTATAAATGAATTCTTTCTCCAACTAGAAATGCTCTGTTCTTTTTTGTGCGGTGTGAAAATTCGCTACTATCGAAAAGGAAATGCCTAACCCCGATTGAAATAATGGAAGGAGGAGCACATTCTTCTTTCTCCTCTTCATTTTCTGCTTTTAAGCAATTCCATTGTAATGGAGAGAAAATCGTAGGCCCAATCGAGTCCCTTGTTGACTTGGAATGAGTGAATGCATTTTTTCTCCTCTTTCTTTCTATCTTTTTCCCCTCATCGGGGCTTCAATTCTTCTCACGTTTTTCTATATTCTTTTCCTCCTTTTCCAGTCGCTTATCTCTCGGCCAAGTGAAAGCATAATTAATAGTTCGCATTTCTTTGCGTGGTGTCAGTCATTAGAAGGATAGATGTTACAGCCATCGATAAGGTTGTGGAGTCTCCCGTCTCTTTGTTGCTCGATTTTTTCCCACTTTTCACTGTTAGAACAGTGCACATCCGAGAGGGGTTTGCTCTCTGATTGACTGGCTGACTGAATGACTGAGGATGGGAAAAGATTTTTGCATGATGGGATTCGTTACTCGAATGGATACATCGTTTGGATTTTCATCCAACTATCCGCTTTTTGCTCCCCCTTCCCTCACTTCTCCTGAGAGTTGTAGACCGTAAACACAGCCAGAATCGATGGGTGAGTTCCGTCGTCTCTTCGAAATTGTTAGTCTGAAAGAACTGATTAACGTTTGTAAACTCCCACCTTACACCTGTGAGAAACCGGCTGATGCAAGGATAGAATTTTTGGGACAAATCATGGGCTTGCTACTGGCCGTGCCGCAGAGTAAGTTTCAAGTTTCTACCTTTGGCCACTTGGAGTGCTCGCGTCACTACGCCCACATTTAATCACTAGTGCCTACCTTCCGGAAGGCGAAAATTTTGTTTTTCTCTTCATAAAGATATAAACACTTGATCTCGTCATCCCCATGCCCATCGGACACAGCCACCACTTTGTCGATTGTATAAATGTCGTCGATATTTGTCGCCCTTGGGGCCCTTTCCAAGCTTATTACAATGCTCGTCCTTCTTTGTTTTCTCAACTGCAGACAACCGGGTGTCCAAAGGCCTCCACATTAGTCGCACACACCCATTCCATGTGAGAGAGACTGCATCTCTCATCCCAAATTCACACATTGACAACGGCAACTCTTGAAAGGAGCAGTTAATTTCGAAGACCCTAATTCTCCCACATTGTGAGGAAAAGTGATCTAATTTATCTTCTCAACGTCCACGTGGCACTCTCCCCTCATAGCGAATGAGGAATGGGGGCAAGGAGAGACATGAAAAGTGCCTGTGTTCAGAAAGTCCTAGACTTTTTTTCCTGACTAGAGTGATGTTAACCTCCTTAATATAGGAGAAATTTGCACACCTTTTTGGATGTAAGTTACTGGGATGGAGTTGTTACCTTCTTTACGGAGGTAGAAAACGTGTAGAAATGGAGAAAAGGGCGCTATTTTAGGTGACACAGCATGCAATAAACCGACTCGAGAAGAAGTCCTTTTTTACGTTCTTTTTGTTTCAACTTTTCTTTACAGGTAGTCTTTTGTTCACGTTGTTGTTCATTGAAAACGTAATTTGTGTCAGGAATTACATTTGTGCTTCACGAATGGGATTTAATTTGTCTTAAAATTTATTTGCTATGCATAAAGACAAACATTTTTTTCTTTCCGAAGGCAGTTATTTTCAATGGATACATTTTTTTCCCAAAGGTGAACCATTTTAATTCGACGTGGAGTGAGGATACTTATTGTATTATTAATAGTTTATTATTCGATCTATCCCCAAGTCGCCTTTTTTGAGTATTTCGGGTATTACACGTGTTCCCCTTTGCAAGATCCCAAAGTGAGGGTGGGGCGTGAATTTTTCACCTCCACTTCTCATTTAAAGCTACTTTCTACCGCAAACATTAAATAAGTCTTCCACATTATGGTCTCGACTCGCTTTTGAAAAGTTGCCTACTAAGGGCGATTGTGAAGCAACATTTTAAGAGGAAAATTTTGGTTTGGAGATGAGGACTTTTGAATAATTAACATTGCATTGGATTGGTGATGGGTGGCCCTACTTATTGTGTTATAAGTAGTTCATTAGTTGGATGGGTTTTAGTGTATCTTGACCATAATCACCTCCTCATAGTATTCAACACACCAAAGGGTAGAAATGTTATAAATCATGCCTCAGGATGGAGTTCGAAGCTGTCATTGTCGTATCACGATGATGTGTTTCACTGACCCAAATTTTATACCAGGAGAGAAGCAAATTATTTCTCTCACGATTAGGTAGCCCTTTTTTAAGGACCTTCCCATCAGATACACAAATAAGTGCGGTTGTTTACATGACACTATGGTATTATTTGTGCGATTCTTTCATTGTGCGATGAATCCAAATAGACCTCTCATGATTCAGCGATTTTGATGCTGTCTATTCTACTAAACTTGCTTACTACCCTATCGTGTCTATCATAAACGGGACCTCGTCATTTTTTCAACTGGGAACACTGGGCTTCTCACTGATACAGATTCTTCATCTTCCTGAATGGATGCAGCTTCAGTTTAGTCCACCCTTTAAGACGTTATTGTATATTTTCTAAATCAGAAGGGGTAGTACATGTAAGACTATAGCAGCTTGGCCTGATTAGCCTGTCTTGCTTTAAGTTGGAGACTGCTCGAGGTAATAAGACGCATCATATTTAATCACTTCTTTAAGCATCATCCTCCACCCACGTGCTATATCTCGCTCGCAATTCTTCTAACTACCGATGACATGCGCACATTAGGGAAGAAACTGTCATTTTTCATTTATTTACTCCTTTTTATGCATTTAATTTTAGTGCCTGGAAGCAATTGTTGGAAATGATGATCTGCAGACAAGGGGAGAGGAGGATCTCTACGATGATCTCGATCAATTAGGTCAGCCGGTTAGCAAAGCTGAGGTATGCTTATCTGACCTTCTTCTTGTCTCTCTTTTGCTACTCCGTCTCCTTGTTGGAAGTATAGTGTGGCTCTTAAATTGTTACCAAGTTGCAGAAATACTGAGTGGAATGGCAATGAGAAGTCGTTGAAGTAGTTACAACAGTGCCACAAATGGAAAAATGATGCTGCTGCTAGTAGTTGTTGTGTTCTGCAAGACGATAATACAGATGCACTTATTTTTCTCCTTCCCTTACTTCCGCGATCAGATGGTTGTAAGGGTCTAGCGGAGGAAGGCCTTTTGCATTTCTATGAAATGAGGCGCCACTAAGAGTGTCCGCTCCAACAACTTGCTCTGCCAGCCACACTCTTGCCGAGTGCATGACCTCTCCCCTTTCCTCTTGCCCCATTCTGCCACCCACTCGGGTTTTAGAACACCAAAAGTTTTCCTTTTGGACTGAATTCTCTTCACAAATAAGAATGACATTTAATTCTGTTTAGGGCTGTCAATCTTAATGACAAAGCCGGGGTCTTAAAGGTTAAGAGGAAAGGCGAGTAGGTGCCTCCCACACTTCCCCAGCCCAAGTGACGGTGATGGGACGTTGGGATGAGATGTCTATCTTTATCCACTTCAGATCTGCCAATCTCACTGGAGGAGGGCAGAAATGTTGATCTCCTGTGATGTCAAAAGCTGTATAGTCATTTCCTGTTCTTCCTGTATCCACCTTGCAGGATTTGGGCAAAGGTGTTTGATTCACCACTCTAGTGAAGGCAAACATCTTGTGACCCATTCTTTGCTTTCTGAGTGATTATTTCAACTGACATTTGATGGGTCCTTTTTGCTATTCATACTGTAGACCCTTTTAGCCGTGCTGAAGCGTGTCATGAACCGCCAAACTCTTTTCTATTCCTACTGTGAGGACTCTGAATATAGTCTTAGGTCATACAGAAACTAGGCGGCATGGCAGACAGATGGCTGGATTCGAGCCAAAGCAAAACCCTGGAGAGCTGCTGGGTTGCCGATGACGTGCACTTCAACTATTAATGGAAATGCAATACTTCACGTATTTGTGGAGTGCAGAATCGTAGAGAAAATCTAGTACGTTGTTAACAGTAGGTGCGTTAAGGGTTGCCTCCGAAATTCCAGTTCTAATGAAATGCCTATTTTTAATGACCATTTTTTTGCCCGATTTGGGTGGAAATAAGCAGTGCATACCTTATGATCGGCTGCTTTTTCGGCTCTGCTGCATTTGTACTGAATGATTTTCCCCCCTCTTCTCCTCCAACTCTTTTTTTCCTTTCTTCTCCTTTGGCATATTTTTATGCCTAAAACTCGTCACTGCTGTGATCAGAAGGAAAAACAAGTACGGAGAGTCACCACTAGTAGGCGTAAACAGAACTTTCGGGTCTTTTGCACTGTCCTGATTCTTTCATCCTGTCACCCTAGCTCCAGTCCATGAAAGCCTTCCCATTGCAATGCCACTAATAACAAGGCAAGAGGAGTGTCATAATTGCCTTTCACTGTCCCAAGCCATTTTTCCTGTTCTGACCGCTTCGTTACCTGTGCGTGCTGACGTTCTCCTACCCTCTTTCTACATAAGGTAGAGAAGAACCTTATTTTTGGCGTTTCGTGTATGTCCTCACTTTGCTTTTTCCCTCTTGGCCTGTAGTTGGTTGTATCAATGTGAGTATTGATGCTTTAAGCAGCCAGAAAGTTCTTTTGCATGCATACGTACTTGGATACATTTGTGGGGTGAGGGATGGTGTTGTAATTTTTAAGGCTGAAAGCGTTGAATGTTCTCCCTTCCCATTCAATGTTTCCCTTTATTTTTTTTGTCCCCTCTACTCATTAACGGATGGGTGAGTGATAATTGTATTAACTGATGACATCCTTCCAACCTCCTTCCCCGCAAATCGTTCAGACTGAAATAGCTTTCCAGGTTGTGAATCATCTGAAGGTGATTATTGTCGCTGGCTTTCTTGGTGCTGTTCAACGTATTTCTGATTGGCTCTTAGTTGCCTCCTAATCGATAGCTGGTAGGCCAGATTTTAAGAACGTTTATTGGTTCTCATTAGTGGTCCTGACATTGACGTCTCCGACTTCTCTTTACACTTTCCTCCTTACACTCTTATCAAGGACTCCTTTTTTCGTCACATTTCTCCGCCACAAAGTAATCTTTTTTTCGGTTCTTATAATAAATAAACATATCGCACCAAATTGATGGCATCGTAAAAGACCTTCTCATTTATTTCCACCTCCACTCTTTTCCCCTTTTTAAAGCAAGCTAACCAAAATACCAGGAGGATTAGGTGGTTTCAGATTTCATTCGTTTTATTTTCGCATTTACCGGGGAAGATTTATATTCTCTCTCCCCATTCTGCCTCCCTCACACCTCCACCCCCCTCTCCGCATCGTTCACATTGGGAACTTATTTTTAGACTAACGCGTACTAGGTCAGTGTGAGGCGCTCATTCACCTAAGTTATAAAGCCCATTGGAAAAAAATGGAAAAAAACACACACGCAGAAACGCTAGCTTTAGGATTGGAGGGGACGAAGGGTGAAAGAGGTCAAAAGTGCTCTCTTCATTGGTTACTTTGCATTCTTTTCTGTTAATGATGGCAATTGTCTGAGTGTGAATCCGTGACCCTCATCCACTCCCATCCACCAACTCGGTCAACCTATGCCATTCAGCCTGGATGCACAGTTTTGCTCATTCAAACAACATAATCCTGTTGGTCATGGTATCAAGTCGCGTACGTAAGGCAAGCGTCCTAACGCTTTGGTTCCACCAGTTTCGAGATTCCATAAAGTAGGTCTTGTCAAGCTGTGAATGCTAGCTCAACAGCTCGTTTTATGGCAAGATAAGGAGCAATGATAAGAAACAAGTGCTGTATGATATACCCTTTGGCGCCAATATCGTTTATATTTATACTACTGGTAACAAAATGTCAAGGCGAGGCGTCCCCCTCCTAATTAAAAAAAGATCCGCAATGTGTTTTTTTAAGCCTAGGAAATACTGTTGATGCGTGGATGACTGTGGTGATAACGCCGAATTTTCCGCAAAAAGTTACAGTCGAGAAATAAAGGATACTGGTTCACACTCTCCTGGAGTCTGCACATCTAAAAGCATGTCGTTTTAAGCATTACTAGAGAATACTCAGAGTTTGATGTTGCTAGAATGTCAGGCAAAACGGCTATAACTAACGATTTAAGTAGCATATGGTACAGCCTGTGTGTATCGATGGAATGCCTCCCTCTTTATTCTGGGTAAGCTGCGTCACGAGGGCACTAAAAGGCATGCATTATACATTCCATCTGCACTCCTGCCTCTTTGTTCTCTACAAGCTAAAGTGCTTTCCTCCGCTCCCCCTCACTACCAAAAGTGGTATCCGTTACAAGAAAAATGAACAATTGGGCATTGTTAAAATTTGCAGAAGCTTCTCATTTTAACTCCCCATTACTGAGCCGCGAGATTCGCCTAGCATCTGAGCGGTTGGTATCAGATTTGCACCAAAGAAAGGGGACACAAAATAAGTGTTTTGTGGTGTGGCTGGATGAAATGAATTTCATGCCATTGTTTATGCCCGGACATTACAAAACGTCCATTTGTTTGCTTCGGGAATTTAAACGCCTTTGGGCCGTAACTATTTTGTGAGAATCTACACACTTGTACGCACTATCCTGTGCCACGTTTTTCTTAGGACATATGCACTACTTTGCAGTCGGAAGTCTGAGTTGATTTTCTGCGATCCATTTGTCCATACAATCTGAAGGAAGCACGATGGAGAATACGAGGTGCGAAGAATGTCCCTTTCCTAAAAAGTAGGACCAAGCTGCCTCAAATCTGGACGCTTGAGAAATCCAATCTAAATGTTTATGGCGTTAACACACACATGTTAGAAGTGATGCATAAGTCGACAGTCTGTGAAGCATATTGCCATCCTCAATGGGGAATCTTCCCTAAGTTCTCTTTGTCTAAGGCGCTCCTTTTCGCTGTTTGCATTTTCCTCGATGGTTTGTGCAATGCCATTGAACCCTGTAAACGCTTAACACTGTGGTATGAGACGACTAAAAGACCTGGTTATTGAAGCAAGACCAGAGCAAGGATTGCATCAAAACAGAATTCGGTACATATTCATTTTTTCTTCCCTATGTTTAGCTGCAAAAGCGGAATGCAGACCGCGCCATCCTCCTTACCGAGCTTACCTCTGTGATAGCACATCGAATGGTGGAGACAAGGGATCGTGAGGCAAAAGCACTCTCTCGTTCAAGGGGTCTTCTGAACTCCAACCGGTCATCACCGCCGCCCCCATCTCCGCCGCCTGCCGTCTGTGAGAGACCGTCAATGCCAATTTCGGTACGTCAAAATTGTCAACAACGCATAGTCATTCGTTAGACGAGGCCAAAAGAATATCAACAATCAACAATTTTCGTCTACTTTCTATTCATCCAATTCTACTTTCTTACCCACCAAGTTGAAAAGGCTTAAAGTGGCTTTGGGGTCTGCCATAAATTTAGAGCACTTTTACAATTGTTTATTTTGACATGAGATCATTTGTCAAACATTGGCTTCTGAATTATTGGAATCTCCCAACTCCTCTTTGTCCCTCATTGAAAGTACATCTCTGTGAGTTCTGTAACGTCTGTATATGAATGAAACGAAATTCCTCTCTTCCCTCTCTCCTTTCACTTTGAAAAGATAGTTTCCTTTGTGGATAAAGAATTAGTATTCTTGGTTGGGGTTATCTTTTATTTTAACTAAAAATTACGATGTTTTCCCGGGCTCATGCCTTTAATGTGTGCGTGTGTGTGCTTCTCTTGCCGCCTTCCTATAAGTCACTCTGCCTCTAACCCTTGTCCCTTCAAAGAACAAGAGTCGGAGGGGATTGTGGGAACCTAAGGAAGGGGATTTTGTTTCGTTCCCGTCAAAATCACCTTGACAACTGTCACTTTTCAGCTATAACCTCTGCTTGACATGTCTATTCATTTGGGGCGAGGGAACATTAATGTCCTACAAACCAATAGTTGTTTTGACAAATTACGCTGGATTTTGCATATGTACGTGTGTGTGTGTGTGTCGCATTCCTTTCACTCCCTCATTTCTCATCACGCTTGATTTATCTGGTCAGGAGGTGGTGGGAGGAACAGGAGCCAGATGTGCGTAGATGGGTTGGTCTGTTGGTTGGTTGGTGTCCTTGTTTGCAGTCCTGACAGAAAAGTCAACTGTTGCACAACGTAGAATGCCACTTTCACTCTGCGTGGTTAAGTGTTGTACTTTCGATATTTGCAGTACTGATTGGTGACAGGTGACTTAGTATTTTGGAAGTCGATGATGTAGAATGTAGTCTTGTTGTGTTGTAATAATCCACCATTACCAGTGGACATATGCGGCGTTTCAATCGCACTGTCCTATCATTAGGCATCGACATAGTTCAAATTTCACGTTTTATTGGAACAAGGAACGTCCAAGCTAAACAATGGCCAAAGTTATTCTTTAACAAATGGCTGTCTGTTCTATGAGTGTGTGGAGATTGAGCTTTCAGGTCTGGATCGTAATCTCTTAGGAGGAGGAGAGGAGATGCAGTCTTCATTGAGCGTTAAAACATTTTCTTGAGCCTCCTGTAGATGCCTTGTTGAGTTCGTTGCTCGCTTAGGATGCCGTCGTCAGGAATGGCAGCAGCGATTTTACTTCACTTATTGTTTGCGTCCAAGCAGATCTCCCAAAAGTCATATCTTCGGTGTATTGCTGTGCTGAGCTAACAAAACTTGACATGATGGATGGATAGATGAGAGGAGGATTGACATATTTGCTTTCTCTTTCTAGCAAGCGTTTCCTTTACCCCTACATGTATTCTACATTCATAAGGGATGGGGGCAGGGAAGTGGTGGAGAAGAAAAGGAGGAGAGGACAGGCACAAGGTCTCCATTTCTCTTCTTGTTGCTTCATTCTCGTCTCGTTTCTTCTGCCCTCCTCTTTTTCTTGCATTGGTTCTCTTATTGATGAAAACACACAATTGTTGTAAGGTTGGAAAATGTCCTTCAATCTGAAGGGGAGGAGTCTGGTTTCCTGCTAAATTTATGAAGTCCTTTTTATATGAAATAATGTTTTGGGGTCAAGGTTTGTTTTATTACTTCTATCCACATCCATCTGTCGTTTACGAGGCAACCGTGCTCTTCGGTTTGAGGTATGGAAAGCGACTATCACGTCTTCTAAACTGTGCAAAGCCACTCGTCTAGACCAGGAGGAAATCAGCCGACACACCTGCGTAGGTATTTCATATGATCTGAAACTACCATTCATCACGCCTCAAACACTGGGTGTGTGAGGGGCATGATGTTTTGCTTTGCGTAGGAGTGCGCTCCTTCCGAAACAAATAGTTCTTCCTCTTCGAGTGAAATCCCTAATTCACTTCCGACAGAAATGCATAATGAAGTCTGTTCTCGCATTTCTGCCTACCAAGAAGAAAGTGAATCAAGTACACAAGTAATAGTAAGAGGCGGAGGAGGAGGAGGAGGGATCATGCTCTCGTCATCATCAATTATAAAGTATTCTCACCTTGTCATCAGTGTTGAGACCCTTTACAAGTGTCCTGTGCCAGTGGATCAAAGTCACGAGGGAGCAATGATGTGCCAATCCCTCCCACAGGTTTCATCTGTCATGATGTCTGACGAAGTGCTGCTTTTACCCACAGTACGTGTGTGTCACCACTGTCAATGCCTCCATTGTCTCAGTCGTTTTAATTTGACCGACACATGATGCGTCGAAACAGCAAAAAGGCTGAAGCAATCAACAGTTGAGGTATTTTAAACTAATATCTTATTTGCATTTCCTCAATTTTTCTCCCATTTTACTCTAAAATGATGTAGTCACGTATGGAGTCGGAGTCGGTCTTATCTTTCACCACACCTGTATTTCACACGTTCTCTTGGCTTGGGAAGTGATCACAGGTGTATTTTAAAGTGACTCTCCTCTTCCCTATTTCCTTTCATTCAGAAGGACTGAAAGGCAGCAAGAAAAAGTAGAGGAAGGAAAAAGACATCTGCTACCTCTGCCACCAAATGTTTGGAACTGTGGCAGAAGTAAATTAATTTTCGACGATTTGAAACTTGACTTGGTTAGGTGAAGACGTCAAAAGTGCATTCATTCATTTGGGCACAGGAATGTGCGGTGGAATTGCAAAGGCTTGAGAAGGGCGATAGGGCAAAGGAGATTGCGGGGAAGCGGGCAGGGAGGCAGGGGGGAAGAAGGTGCCTTGATCTGCGCCATCTCCTAATTTCGCCTTTTTATAAGACGCTTTTAATTAAATCAAGTCTTGTGGCATACCAACAGCAATATCCCCCTCCTTTCTGTCTGTTACTTTTGAACCTCAATCAAGGAATTCGGGTCCTCTGGATCACAGTTGACAAGGAGACTAGCTCCTTCAGGACGGCGGAATCTTTTACAATGACATTTTAAGGTCCCTTTTCCTGAAAATTTACAGCTGGAGAGAGAGCTGAAAGGTATTATTTTGTTTATGCTCAGTTGAGGTTGAAGAATTTCGCCTGTGTTCCTGTTTGGTAATAATGGAAATTCTTATGCAGAAGTCCTGACGTTCATCGCATAGATGATGGCGCTTCTGGCGACAGTGAAGTGGTCGTACACATGTCCCTGTCAATCCTAGCCGTAGTGATTATTCCCAATTTGGTCTCGGTGGTACCACTTCACACAATAAAGGAACATACACACTTGTGAAAACGAGTTGTAGCACTTGTGAGGAACAAACACACCTTTTTACTTTTACTCCATGCCTAATTGAAGTGCATAGAGGAAGAATGACTTTGACAACCATTCCGTTCCTCACTCTTTGGTGCAACAGTGATCGAGCTGAGCTTCAGAAAACGGTTCTTGTTCAACCTTCTGCCATTCCAGCTTAAAGCTTGTGTCATAGTATGTTTCTCCGCTTCGCCATAGAGGCTCTTCTTTCCTCTCCTCTACCCTTTGCTATTCATTTCATTGTACCTTTCGTGGATTATGCGTTCGTCTTTTGCGTAGTTTGCCATTGTTCCCTTTCTGCTTCTCTTAATTCGCATCCAGGAGCCAAAATTTAGTTGGAGGATTTCACAGAATGAATTAATTTTCAGGAGGTAATGAATGATCGGAAAATAATGGATTTTTGGGCTTTTTGTTTGATAGTCGTCATAAAAATGGGAGTCATAGAACCAAATTTGATAACTCTGCTCCTCCCTCGTCGCATCCTCTCCCTTCATTCTTTCTCTAGGGTGGAAAGGTGATTATTTCAAAATAAACTGGCAAGGGGATCGCAGAAAGTATTTGTGCTAAATTTACCTCATTGCTTTTGGAAAGTGAAGTAAGCAATCTACGAAGGTCCATGTGGTGCTATAAAATTTGACTGGTACGCCGTATCCATCCTTGCACAAACCCTGGCGCAAAAGGCCATTCATCGAGGAAACAGGATCATTACATTCCACACGCATTTGGCAATAAAATGATCCTGTGTGTGTGTGTGTGTGTTGGCTCACGATGGTACCCACTAGGCGGGAGAAATGAGACAGTCTGCGTCTCCGTTTTTGTTTGACTTCTCATCCACCTCCTCAGCGAAATTGAGACGTGGGGAAAGTCCAGTATTCGACCTCTGAACTACGAGCAGGGAGGGGGCCGAAATTTTTTGTCGGAATTGGCTGTATATATTTGAGAGAGGCGTTGTTAGAGTCAAATCGTGACGTGCCTACTGTGGCAGTCGGTACTACAGAGGGGGGAGGAGAGGAGGAGGGAAGGGGGAAAGGGGGTAGAAGTAACAAATGTGTCATGATCGTGCGTGAGCCAATCTACACCACTACGGGTTGATCAAGATAGCAGGCAATGATGGTAGTGCTTGCGCGCGTTTGTGTGTATGCGATAGCGTGTGTTGATGATGTGAAGCTACCCCATGAATGAATGCGTTTATAATTCCAAGTCCATAGATTTATTTACGAGCTAACTACAGAAGGCATGATGCAGTAAATGAGGCAACTTTTCATCGCTCTCGGTGTACACATCTTTCATTTCGCCTGACTGTACGTCTGGTGGTGGTGGTGGTGGTGGTGGCGATGAATGATGGGGATGATGATAGCGATCTCGGCCTCGTTACTTCTTAGTCCACACACCAGTGGGTGTGAAACACGAGACTTTAGTTGTGGCCTCGACAGTCCTGCCTTGATACAAAAGTTCTCCTAGACTCCCTCATCTCATATGATTTTCCGACTTATACTTTGCGCAATTCAATTTTACCGCCTAGACCTATGAAACCATTGCGTCCAGTGTGCGAGACATTAATTTATATAAATTTTAATGCTTTCTCGCCCCTCTCTCCCCTTGTTGGCTCGCCATCCGGCTGGAAAGTGTATTGCCTTTTTACATTCATTTCTCCGTTTAACAGAAGTCAAGTAAAGAAAAGCAATCACTGATTAAAGGTTTGTTTCCTTTTTCTCACCGCATGGAAAAGTGTAAGCCACGAGTTAACCTTGGCCTTTACGACTTCTCAGCTGATAAACTTCATTGTGAAGTAAATTACATCGTTTACCTCGCTCCTGAAAGTGTTTTCGCTTGTTCTGTGGGGAGGAGACTGTCTCCGGGTCAACAGTGGATACTCTAATGATTTGGATCCACATAATCACCGCAAGATTCGGAGATTTCGTTTGCCACGAGTGATTCAACTCATTGTCAGTGTTGTTGACAAGTCTTGGGAGGAACTTTTACTAGTTCACTCTGTACGTGTGCAAACTCCAAATCCCAATTTAGTCATATTTGTTTCTTTTGCGCTCAGGACTTGCCATGAACTATCTTCTAGAGAGCAAAAAAACTTGTCTACGAGGAGAGCGAGTTCATACTCCTACTTTGTGGAAGTTGTTCCTCTTTTGTCTCGTTTTTGTTGGCACCTCTCTGTCTTGTGCAGACCAAAGAGGTGCATTTTGCATACTCCAAATGTTGTGGGTGTCCGATTTTACCTCCAAATCTCGTGGCTGCCAAAAGGGAAGCAGCCTGCTTTGGAAACTCTTTTCTTTATTTTGTGGACTCTTGCATACTCATTTAGCCACAGTGTATGTCATCTTTTCTAGCCCAAATGCCGCTCACTCAAACCACCACAGACTTCAGTGTCCACGTTAAGCATAGTGGCCAAATACGCCTCCCTTTTTTCTTCACTACCAAATAAACAGGGATTCTGCTTTTTTTGGCCGACTTAAAAGACCTGCAATTACCAAGGTATAAGAAAGGTGGCTATTTGAGGGAGCCCTAGTGATTGCCCCCTCCACTCCCTCCCTCCTTACTGCATGTTCAGTCAGAGAAAAAGCTCGGAAGGGGAAGGGTGGTGTAAATGGTGAGTTTGGCAATTCTAGTGTTTCGAATTTGCAATTTGCACAATCACACACACCCACACCCACACACACATTCCCACGTTCTAGAAGTTCAACGTGACTTTGGCCATTGATTTTCGTCTTGAAATCTTTCATTAAGCAAAAGTAGTTTGTGCAGCACTTTGGGTGGTGTTTTGAAGTTGATGAATTTTCATCTTCTCTGGAATCGCCTAATTCCCTATCCCTGGGTACTAAAAGCAGAGGCAACTTCTTTTTTTTTGTTTACTCCTCCCTCATCCCCTTCCCCCGCCTCCTCCCCTCTCGCCACATTTTTTTCATTCGGTTCTATTACCGAGGAGGAAGGAGAAACATAATGTTGATCGCCTTTAATCGCCTTTTCTTTTGTAGCGATAACGTTTTATTTGACGTTCCAAAGTTGGCTCGTTGGCATAAGACAAAGACTCCATTGTGCTATTATTGATGCGTTTGGGGAGGTGGAAGATTTCCAACGCCTCCTCTCGTTCAGTTTTTTGCCTTTCTTTCCCTTAAACATCGTGATTTTTTTCCTCTTTTCCCCTTTCTACAGGTAGAAGATTTACTCTCTCCCTCATTCTAGTCACCTCTTTGTCGACGTTGCCTTCAAAACTACCTCCTTCCTACACGACTTTTTCAGAAGGCAACTTCTAACCACTTCTCATCTCTCTATCCAGCAATCTTGAAGACAGCCCATGTTTTTGATGAAATACGATGATTTCCTGGTGGCAACTTTTGCTCACCATTTGTTTCTTTCCACAGTTCCTTTTTTCGATGCCTTGTGTAGTTCACGTGTGGAGAACGTTCCACTTTTCTAGCATCCACCTCTTCGCATTGCAACTCCTCCACTTCTTTATTCGTCATCTTCAAGCAAGGAGAGCCTGTAAAAAGGCAGAGATTGGGCAGTTGGTTGAGTTGAAGTTTTCTAAAACTTTCCTAATCTTTTTGATGTGTGTGAAAAGAAGTTCTACGACTTTAAAATTCTCAAACGACCATAAAGTAGAAAAACTTTTGTTTTGTCTGCTATGGGTCTCATGGTCGGGTCATTGCATTTCGCCAAGTGGGGGTGCTAATACTTCTCTCCCTCCCTCCTCTTCTTTCTTCTCTCATCCCAATCAGTTAACAAAATATCGTTTTTGTGAATGAAGGAACAACACGCTTTTATCTCCTTTTATGAAAAAAGAAGGGTATTTTGTGAAGCGGATCTTCTGGTTAAACAATTGACTCTCTCTTCTGTTGGGCGCCTTCCTGATTTGCTGGAATAAATTTAAATGCGTAGCCGGTTTCGGATGTGTTTAGGCCTGCCAAACTGTCAAGATACTTGCCTTTATGGATTGACTTATTGTACTGAGGCTCCTTCATTCCCTTTTTCTTTGTCATATCTTTTGTTTTTCTTTATGGGGGTGGTGGATCCGACGGTTGCGCAAAACCCTACACTCTGCATATCTCCCATCTGTTGAGACTTTAAATGGAAATCGTTCATCTAATTCCTTCTTCTCTCGCATTTTTTAAAGCATATTTTTTGCACATTTTTTTTCGCTTTCTTGAATTTCCTGTTTTTAACAGGGCTCTCTTCCTCAAGCCTTCATCCTCCTCCTCGTTCCCCGCCTTGTCTCCGCCACTTTCCTCCCTTTTCTGCGTGGTTCTCAAGCCTTTTTTCTCATTTTTGACCAGTTATGCCCCAATGTACGATTTTCCTGTCAAAGCAAATTTATTTTTGCATTTTTTTTCGAATTTTAATTTCCTGTTTTTTTTGTTTCTTTCTACCTTTTGAAAGGGAGAGGGGCGAAATAATCTTTTGAGAAGAAATATTTCTGAAGCATTTTGTATACGTGTGTGTGTGTGTCTAAATATCATCAAACATTTATGAGAATCTGTGCCTTCCCTTCCATGGTCGTGCAACTTTCCACCTTTTTTTTGCCATTTTTGGTCCATTTTTGTCTCCCTAAAACACTGCTTCACTGTAAGTGTTATTGTAGTCCACAAACTTTTCTCCTCATTTTCTTTCTTCATCTCATTTTTTGTCATAATGCGAATAGTTTTTACTTTATCTTCCTATTTTTTCCTGGGTTTTGTCACCTTTTGGAGAGCATGATTGAGGCAATGAAAGACGGAAAGTGGATAGAAAATTTGTGAGAAATTCCCGTTGATTGTAATTGGCCTATCCAATGCAGCAAGTTTTGGTGTTCCCTCCACTACCTGCTCTGCCTCTCACCAAAAGGATCAGTCACTTTCGATCTGTACCACAAATGATTTCGTAATTCCGGTCCCTCCTAGTTACTTTTGTTGTGGAAGCACTTGCCGCAAGTGCAGTCTTTAAACGCACTGCAGAGATTCGACTTGGAGGTGGTGGATGAATCACTGAAGCCCCGCCTTGGTGGAGTCATTCTTGGCTCTTGTCTAATGATGAATAATTATGGGTCAGGATTGATACATCGTTAAGAGGTTACTGTGAGGAGTTAACCGAAAGGTGGAGGGAGGGTAGGAGGAGGGGAGGAGGGGAATGCATATCTTTCCAAGTAATCTGAGAGGGAGTTTGACTATCCAAAATTAGAAAGCTCCGTTGTCTCCTTCTTGTCCTTCCTAAGGCACCGAACACTTCTCTCTATCACCTTGCCTGCTGGCCAACTAGTCACTGGCTCCCTTGGTCATCAAAGCGTAAAACTTCTTTCCAACTTTCCCACTTTCTTTACCGATGCTCAGTCAACTGTGGTAGTCGAAAGACAAAGAAAAGCTCTTCCATGCATGGTAAAGTGTTTCCAACCCTCTTCAATCTCTTGCTTTATAACTCGGTGACATTTCGTGGGACAGTAACCAAGTGTAGCAACGAATGATGATGACAGTAGGAGAAGAGTAGGCTCCTCACTCATAAAATATCTGTCCATTTGCTCGTATGAACAAGAGTTCACTTTGTACGTCCTCCTTGATGGAGGTAGGAGACCGCAAAACGTTTGTATAAATCAGGAAGATAATTAATTAATTTTGTGCTACTTACACTTTTATTATGCATGGCGCCAGAACTTTCTCCATCTCCGCCTCATTCCAAATTTACGTGCGATTCCTTTGGCTTATGCTTGGATGCAGAGGATGGATTGGTGTTTTCTTCTCAAAATTATTTAAATGATCATGCAGTTTGGTAGCTCTTCGTCGTCATCATCGCCATCTTCTCGGCAATGAAGTAAGTTGACAAGCGTCCACCATTTAGTAGTGCTGTTTCTTCTTTTAGAATGACGAGGGTGATACTGCTCGGACAGTATCTTCTCGAAGTCCATCTTTAGACCTGAAAAAACGTCTCCTTTTACGTGGTCAGCATTTCCATCTTTTTGCCAAGACAGCAGACCACACCTCTCATATCCTTCACGCTGATAATCCTGAAAATGGGGGCGAAGCAGCTGTGACCGAGGCTCCTTTTGAAACCTCCTCAATGCGTGAGTGCTACGAAAAATAGGTTCTTTAACTTCCGGAAGGAATTGAATAACAATCCATCTCATTGGTTCATTTTGTGTTTTGAATTAACGTCTGGTGCTGTGATCAAGTCGGTTGATAACTTGTATTCCTTCTTACAGGAGCAGTCAACTTGTCGGACATGGGAAGACTTTTCAATTAATACGTCAGACATGAGGTATTAATTGAAAAGTTTTAATCACACACCATTAGGCTTGTTCATGTAAAAGTATACGCATCGAGCAGAATTGTATGCATTAGTTTCCTTGGTTTTACCTTGAATTTGCCCCATAAATCGTCATCATCCACTTCGCTTTTAGGTCCCACCATTTCACCTGACTTGAAGGCACAAATTCTCCAACGTGTGCAATCTGTCCACCCCTCAGAAGAAGAGTTTTATGACGATATAGGAAGTGGGGAAGAGTCGAACGCAGAAGAAATGGAAGAGCAGTAATTTGACCACTAACTCTTTCAAGTCCTCTTCTTTGCTTCTCCATATCATTATTTGATAGCATAATTTCAAGAGAAATGGAAGTAAATGGCAGAACCTTATTTATGCATCATCTCGTGGTCAAGGTTTTGAGCAGAGGGGAGGGTAGTTCATTAAGTTCTATCTTTGCATTGAGTTATCCACTAATGCCTGTCTTTCTGGCCACTTTTTGAAGCGGATTTTCCAAGTGACGATTGAAATTCCTATCCGCTAACTTAATTTCCTCTCTACGCACACTCATTTCACCTCCAACACTTTGTTCGCATCACCTAGTTGTTCAAGCCTCCAACTCGTCTTTAAATATACCTGAGGTCATCACATCTCCTTCAATCAGTTTGTCGTTATCGCACACTAGTTTTGACTTGACTCTCAAGGAGAGGTATGAAAGTGATGAACAGACTAAGCCCCTTTACTTATTCGTTTTGGTAATTGGGATTTGCCCTTCCCAGCAGCCGGTTTCACCACACGCCCGAGGCTTGGGGAGAGTGCAGGAGCAGTATAGAAGGTCCTAAAATCTTGATACACCCATGGGCACCAAGCGAAGGAGCAGGAGAGGTTTCATGGCACCCTCATTACCTAAATAGGCAGTTAGGTAAAGGAAAGTTTGTGTGTGTGACGCCAAAGCTTGTCGCCGTTTTTGGCGATTTTTTTATTTGTTACGCCATAATACTCGGGGTTTTAATGTGCCTTTGTTGCACCTTGACACGCATTTTCCAAAGCCATTTGATAATAACAACGGAGTCGTTGGCGCTACATAAATACAATTTTTTTGTAATTAGCACTCCAACTCCCTCTCCTTCGTCCCCTCCCTCTTCCCCTTCTTCTAGAGCCACCTACCCCCTAAGCACTCTGTGGTATTTTCCAGTCTAGACGCCTCGATTACTTACCTGGTTACCACAATGCCCACTGGCTGGATAAATTTTACTCTAGGCGGTCCGTTTAATCTTTTCCCCCGTCGAACTGATGAAATACGCCGCCTAGGTGAACGGAGACGGTTACCATCAAACAGTGAAGGAGTCGGTACAGTTCCAGCTCACGTCAACTACAAACAGCTCTTTATTGCTTTTAATGCAAGGTGGTGGCATTTCATTCTGCCTAAAGTACTTCACTGTGTCGCGACGGGGTCGCGGGTAATGAGGAGACATTTCCGAGAACTTGGTAAATCGGTATGAAAATGGGGAATGTGTAAAATTCATTGGCAATTATTTAATGTTCTTTTTTTTAGTATGATCAGGACAAAAGTGATTTGCGAATGGTGCCAATCACATGAGGTTTAACTTCCCTCCCTTTTCGATGACAGTGATGTCTACTCTTCTGTGTGACTCTCGTTCGAATGGTGGTTCTTTTTAAACTCCTGCTTCTCTTTGACTCCGTGCTAGTTACATTTGACCTAATTGTTCGGTCTACAATCAGTGAACACTTCATCGCGAATGTCTCCGTCGTCTGAGCAGAGGGGAGCCCTTTAGAGGTGTCCTTAAGAATAACGATTAGCATTGTAGGAACTTTGCTGGTATTTGAAAGAATCGCTTACTTTGTAGTTTACGGACTCCCATTTTTCCTCCTTATTGCCTACTCTCGTCAAACACGCCTAGAAACTGTCCTCAACACATGAGACGGTCGTCCTTTGGTAGTTTTTCTCCAATTTTGAAAGTTGTCTGTAAAATAAGACCAGCTTGAATCTATTCCACCAAGTCAAACTGGCAAGAAATGTGGCTTTTGGGTTACGCCAGTGGCTTGACGAGTGTCAATGCATCGAGCTCCCAGAACATTGCTTGTGTAAGTCTTCAGCCATGTCCCCTCCCCGCTGTAGTTGACCATTCAGCCAACAGCCAATTACGACGCCAAAATGGGATCATCTTGGGGACGTTCAACACGATGGCTCAGCAAACGCAAACCCAAGTACATATGCTTCTAATTGCAAGCACATTTTTTCACTTCTAAAGACATCTTTTCAGTTTTTCTTTTCTCCTCCTCCTAGTTGCCATCTCGATTAGGCTTGTGCTAATTCAGAATGCCATCGTTTAAGCTGTTGGCCTTTTCCATGTGAATACGTTCTCTCCCCCTCCCTCTGTCCTTCTCGACATCGTCTACCACTAGCAATTCCTACACCTTTTTGCTCCTTTGAAACAAATTTCTGTCCACTCTCTAATGCGTTACCTCTAATTTGTCCCTCATGGTAGTGCAACATTGGCGGTAGTGATTATTCCAAAGTCATGTCTCCTCTCCCCCACTTCCCCAGTCGGTCTCCCTTTTACATACAATTGGATGCCCATGTATTGTTATGGCTTTGAAATAGTGACTTAGAAGTTGCCTTAAAGCGTTATTGGAAAGCGAGGGAAGAGGGATTCCGCCTATCCTCATTTACAGCCTTATTAATTTCGGGTTTGTTTATGAAGTGATAAATCAGTGATTATACAGATGAAAAATTGACAATAATTTATTACACTTGGATCTGTGGAGGCCAAAAAAACAGCCACACTTTATTTTTGGTTTTATTTGTTGAATTTATTGAAATCAAGCAGTCTTGGCCAGACAGGTGTAGGCGTTGCAACGCCCCACCGCCTCCTTCTCAACCTCTGCACCATCTCAGTGAGGACAGCGGAGTCGGTGGTCTTTTTCCAGAAGAGGTGATTTTACGTGGGAGGCTTCCGCACGCATTTAAGAAAGGAGATTGCACTGTTCTCTGTTTTTAAGCTATATTTGACGCTAAACCGCGTTATTTGTAGTAAAAACTTGGCCGTTTCCAATGTCTTGACAAATGAGTGATAAAATGGAGAAATATGGTGCCAGTTGAAGGGTTCTAGGGCTTAGGCAGAGGTAAAAGAAAAACTGATTGTCTTTGCTCCATTGTCGCAAACAGTAAAGATGGCTTGACTGGGTAGCATCGAGCCTTGCTATGCTTAAATCCCTCTTTCTCCTCATCTCTACCTTCTTCACCCTCTTTCGCCTTTTATAACTTCAGTCTTAGTCAAACCATTTGTTCTCACTCGACATTGGTCCAGTAGATGTTGAAATAAGAAAGGAAAACCAGGGAAAGAGGATTGTTTAAACGAATCAGATTATTTAAAACAGATATTTTTGGAACAGTTAGACGGGCAATTGTAAATGGACCACTTTTCCCTAATGCATTTATGCCAGTGGCGCATTGTCTAGATTACCATCTCGTATAAAAAGTTATCGGATTATTTAGCTGGTTTTTTTTTTCATTCATAGAAATATTAATGGAAAAAAGGGAAATTGATAGGATATGGGGATAGCTTTGTCATATTTTGGACTCTTCCTGGGATCCTCCTCCGTCGTCTCAGGTCCTCCTATCTCTACCTTTCAGGCGATTTTATGAATAACTTGTTAGTCTACTTAACTATACTACTGAAATGCTATCAAACTTAGGTGGAAGGTTAGTTCAAAGAAAATAAAGTGGTAATTTTGTCAACATTGGCAACACTGTTTGGTACATTTTTGGAGTTAAACAACACAATCAGTCTGGATTTTTTAAATGCGAAGGCAATCAAGGAAAAGCAACACCAAAATCCCTCCAGTTTTCCTCCTGACAAGTGTCCATGTGAGGTCGACGTCGGTGCGTTTGTGTCAGGCGTTTGCCTTGTCGCCCTCTGACATGGGTGACATCCAGAGACAAAAGTAGAACTGAGAGGCAGATGCAAAAAGGTGACATAAGGTAACAGCAATGAACTTTTCATTCAAAAATTTTCTTGCAGAAAACGCAAAGACAAACGAAATACACACACACACACACAAAGTAACCGAACTTTGGGAAAGGTAGGAAAATTTGGAGGGGGAGGGAACGATTTTGTCCTTTGCTCTCCTGACAGTTGAAGTGCTTCGAAAACTCGTACTACTGAGACATGTCAGTGTAGAGAGGCTTCCTACCCATGAGACAGATGTCTAGACCATCAAGGCGATGCCCTTAGACAACTGCCCAAACTACATTTGCCATTTAGCTTTATACTATTGTCAAGTTTCATCCCTTTCTTCCTCCAAAAGGGAGCTTCTTATGAAGGAATGATATGTGACACCATTTGATAAACCACGGAGACATCCCCAAACCATCCGTCGCCTTCGATCATCATCCAGGAGGAGGGATGAAAACCGGTGCCAGGATCACCTGTCACCTGTCCTTTAGGATGGTTGAGTTGCCTGTTCAAAAACTGGCGTTTGGGGGTCCTCGCTGGAGTTATTTTTTTCACTTCTTTTAAAAAGAAGCAGTAACACTACAACACAATAGTTCTGTGCAGAAGATTAAAGCTTTGAAATTCATTTTACATCAGAAGTTTAAATCAAAATGTATTTTTCCTCAAAGTGCTTTGGTCCAAGATGTCTTATTTAATCAACCGATAAAAGTGAGGCAAAGAAGGCAAGACTATTTTTTATAAATTTTTAGTAGGTTGACAGACATGACAGAGTGACATTCACAGGATTTACTTAAATGGAGGAGGCAAAAGAACGCCTCTCTGTGCAAACATTCTCGGGCACATTAGGCTCTACACCAAATGGAATTTTTTTTGGCACTGCTCACTCGAAGGTGGATTCCATCGTTGTGTCTTATAGTCTATTCTTCCTTATTTCCCACCAGCTGTCATCTCATTTTCCCCTCTCAGTAGGTTGGGGACATGGCGTTAACCTGTTGCTAACGCTGTTGACAATAATTGATACTGGGCAATGGAATGGCAGCAGTGACCTTTGGAATACAATCGGGTGAAGGTGGACACCTCCTTACCTCTTCTCTCACACTCAACTTTCCACTCTCAATGCTCTTTTCACTAGTAGGCAATTGTCACGACAGATGGCAAGAGGTAAATAAGAAAAGGTGAAAATCGAATTGAGAAAGCTTTATTCTACTCTTCAAAAAAGTTAAATCCCTGGGCTTCATCTTAACTGTTGACTTTGATAGCGTAGTACTTTTCAGGCTGATTTGGAGCTCAAATAGTTCATGGACCACCTTGCCT